TTTGGGTTTAGGGCTTAGGGTTTGAGGGTTTAGGGTTTAGGGCTTAGCGCTTTGGGTTTAGGGTTTTAGGGTTTAGGGTTTAGGGTTTATGGTTTAGGGTTTAGGGGATCAGGGTTTAGGATTTAGGGCTCTGGGTTTAGGGTTTAGGGTCTAGGGTTTAGGGTTTAGGGGCCCCAGCCCCCAAAACGATCAATCTTCTGAATTATCGTAGGATTATGTGAGCCCCGAGAGGTTAAAGGTTACTTACCCTAAGGGTCCATGTGCTCATATAGCATATACATTGGCCGTAATGTAGCCCCTATATAGGTACTGTAGGGCCCATGTATATGCTACATGTGTACATGGACCCTTAGGGTTACCTACTCAGCTACGAAGGAACGAAGGTCAACTCTGCCACCAGCCGGTTCGCGTCACTGGCCATCAGTATCTCCCGCATGCCTGGAACCATGGTTCAAGCCCTAAACCCTAAACCCTAAACCCCTAAACCCTAAACCCTAAACCCCAAACCCCAAACCCCTAAACCCTAAACCCTAAACCCTAAACCACACCCTAAACCATACACCCCAGCTCCGATTTGGCACTTCCGCCTTGCGGGTTCGGGCCTAAACCTTTAGGGAGACCTACTGGGATTTCTGCAGACTGCGCGCCCCTCTAAGCGGCTTAGGGTAAGTGCAGAAATTAATATAGGATTGTTACTTGTTTAGGAGGCTTTTTCGGCTCCGGTTCACCCAGGAGTTCCTGATATTTCTCTGATTTCGAAAAATCTGAGATTTTCGATGAGGGTTTATGGTTTAGGCCTTCATGCCTTGGAACTGCTTCAAGAGCGAGCTGGTACGGAAGACCTTCCGGTGCGTTTGGCCCTCTTCGGCCAAGAACAGCTCCATCAGCGCTTGACATGGAACGACATCCTTCATCCTTCGTGCATCAAGAGGGATCTCCTGCGAAGCGACGGGGTCATCATTCCTTGGCTGACTTCTGGGTTTTAGGTTTTAGGGTTTAGGGTTTAAGGTTTCTTGGCTGACGTCTGAACCCCTCCTAAAAGCTGAACTTGTAGTCTCCTTATTACACATCATATAGAAACCCAAAAAGTTAAAGTCCTAAGAGCCAACCAGAAGAACACCAAGACTCGACTTGGTTGACAGCCATTGCCACACGGGCTCCAAGCCAATAAACTCGATATCATCCTGGAAGTTGACCTCTGAGCCTGCGGCGCTCATGTCGTCCTTGAAATGGAGCCCGATGTACTCCTTAGTTGCTGAGTTCATAAGCCCCAAAAAGTGTACACTTTCAGTTCGTTAAGGGATCATATAATCCCAAAAAGTGTCCCTAAACCCTAAACCCTAAACCCTAAACCCTAAACCCCTACTCACTCAGCTACTGAGACTCCCCCACTGCGTTGATCAGGGCATTTGTCTCCTTCAAGCTGTACCTGGTGAGGCCCAGCGCGCCGACAGCATCATGAAGGGCCTGGCCAGAGATGAGTTTCCTGGGTTGTAGTTTTGGGGCCTCGGAAAGTATTTATGAATAGGTACCTCTTTAGAAACCATAAAGGAAACTTTAAAGTTTCCCAAATTGCCACCTAGTTTCTGGTGTGGCAAGACACCTAGCCGAAGCCGCAGGCGCTGGCCTCTCATCTTCAACAACCAGACCCAAACAAGTTCAAGCTTTTTAGGATAGACCCAATATATAAAGAAAAAAAGTTTAAACCCAAAGCCCTAAACCCCTAAACCCTAAACCCTAAACCGATCTAAGTGGCTGGTAGCCAGGGCTTCTGCAGTCTCCATCTTCTTTAAAGCAGAGCGGAGGTTGCCACTCGTGGTGGAGAGCGCCACAAGTTCCTGGGCTTTGAAGTAACCAGGGAGAAAAAGTATTTAGGGTTTAGGGTTTAGGGTTTAGGGTTTTATTTCATAATGGCTCCTTTAAGGAACAGGTCCCCCAAAGTCTGAAAGTATGGTACTCCAAAGCCCAGAGCTCTGTATCAATCTCACTGACATTCTCACTGCCCATCGCTCTTTTCAATGAGCCTGAGGGCCTGAAATCCTTCCCAACCAACCTTGGCGAGGTGGTGCGTCGCTGTCCATGGGGCTCTTGGGGCTTGTTGTTGGGTTTAGGGTTTTGGGTTTGGGCTTTAGGGTTTAGGGTTTAGGGTTTAGGGTTTAGGGTTTAAGGGGCTTCTTCAAAGCCGAACGGAGCCTGGCACTCGCGGTGGCCGTCACAAGCTCGTCATCAATCTCGCACCAGGCCCCCTCCCACGCGCGCACTCTGGGCGCCGGCTCCGGGCAGGTTGCGATGGCCTGGGACTCGCGAGTGTCGAAGCTGAGGGTGTAGGGGTTTAGGGGTTTA